GCCGGAGGGTTTCCCAGGCGGCTGGGATCCAAGGAAGCAGTCCCCTGGCGGGAGGAGCAGCAGCTGGGCAGCGGGGTTCTCCGGCGGTCGGTCCGTGATAGCCGCATGGTGTGGCGGGCACCCTGCAGCTGGCCATCTGCGAGGGGCTTCCCTGGCGGCAGAAGTACGGCAGGGCAGGCTCCAGGTGGTTGCAGCTGCTGGTCGGCCGGAGAGTCTACCGGCGGCAGGACCACGGCAGGGTGACCTCGCTGTGGCTGAGGAGCGGGGTGGATGTTCCTCCTCTCCCTGATGTCCCTGCAGGCTGGTCTCGGGATGCGGGAGCTTCCTGTGGTAGCATCTCGGGGGGCTTTCCCCCGCTCCCTCTTTCCTCTGCAGCTGGTGACTTGCTGTGGCTTGGAGACCCCTGGGGTCTTTCTCGGGAAGCGCCCTGAGGACCACTCTCGGTAGAGTTGGCAGTGGCGGGGGCTCGGTGGCATGCTGGAGTAGAGGCCAGCAGTATGGGCTGAGTTTTAGGAGCAGTAGGATGCATTCCCACTGCTTGTGCTTAGTGTAGCAGATATAGTGCTATATAGATCAAGGTAGCGGCTTCATCGTATAGAATAAATGAGGATTAAACTGATAAAATCAAGATTTAAATTTTATTAGAGAACAATAACGCTCGATGCGTTGCCTGCACTGCTCCATCACCAGCTGGATCCACGGCCCCAGGGCTCCGGCCTGCTCCCGGTCGTGGTCCCGCAGGGCCTGCACCAGGGCTGGGGGAAGAGACGTCAGTGAGGCCTGGAGGAGTTATGGCTTTGGGGGGCGGGGGGAGGGGTGTGCTGAGCTGCTGGGTGGATGCCATGGTCCTGCCGCCCCTCAGGCCGGCTCGTGCCCCTTGCAGACCCTGGGAAGGGTCCTCAGGCGGGGGGGGCGTCCCCCTGTCCGTCTGGAGCCATGGAGGGGATCTCACCTTGTGCGTCGGTCCCCGGGGAGCCCTGGCGCTGCTGCAGGGTGGCCAACGCCTGGCTCTTAGAATCATAGAATATCAGAGTTGGAAGGGACCTCAAGAGGTATCTAGTCCAACCCCCTGCTCAAAGCAGGACCAATTCCCAACTAAATCATCCCAGCCAGGGCTTTGTCAAGCCGGTCCTTAAAAACCTCCAAGGAAGGAGACTCCACCACCTGTAGATAAATCTCTGATAATTTTCATATGACTTTACATTGTGCCTCTTCATATAACCTTGTGGTGGGTCTACCCACGTGTGACCTCTGTTTTCATGGAACTTTGTATCAAAGCCTCATTTAGAAACTTTGCATTGCCCTTGGTAGAATATTATAGCCCCTAAAGATAGAATAAGATAGAAGAAAAATTTCTTTTTGCTATCAGTAGAACAAGAGCTCTCCCCCCCCCCCTACT